AGGCCAAAAAATTTCACGTTAGGTCAAGAAATAGTTTAAGGGTTATTTTGGGAAAATCAGTTAAAGTATCTGGATTAAAACAAAATAATTGCATCCTTGCAATTCAAAAAGAAAGAAACAGAATTTTGTACCAGTTTCATGTGGTGCTGAGTTTTGCAAGACTGAATTACATAATATCGGTAATGAATGAAGTTAAAGTAATAGACTTGAAAACAGTGGAAACCATGGAAAAGAATTTGGCACTCTTGAAATGATCCCAGCCACATAATGATCAGAATGTCACATAAACTGTATGTTGTCTAACAAAAACAGAAACAGGAGATTTTTGTCTAAACAAAGATGTATCCACAATTCAGGAACAAGTGTCACATAAGAAACAAAAGTATCATCAATCATAATTTAGAAACTATAATGAGGAACTGATGGAATGGATAAAACATACAGTATAGTTCCTCTGGTATTGATCAGCTGATTGCTATTCCAAGAAAAGGATGCAGAGACATAACATAAAAATCATAATCATCCATCTTCTATGCACTCATTCCCATTGTGAAGTACAGCACTGTATGTAGTTCCTTTCTTTACAACTGTATTATTATGTTGTTATGGAGCGAGCCGGGGAATCAGGCGCAGTAGTCGGGAAGTCGGGTATCACAGGATTTAATGCGGAGAAACACAACTCAAACAACATCCAACGTTAATGACCGGACAGGGGTAAGACAGACACAGAAGCACTAAATACACTGAATTAATTAACAACAACTAGACACAGCTGAAAACACCAGGATTCAACACGAGGTAATAATGGGGCGTGGCACACAGGAGGGTTGGACGAGCAGGTCATGACAAATGTACTGTATTATTATTATTGTGCTGACTTGCCTACAAATTCAACTTAAAGACAGGTCACAGGGCTCACTCACCATTCATACCCAAGGACAATTTGGCAACTTCAAGTCATCTTAGCATGGACAATGGGTAGAAGTGGGAGAACCTGGAGGATACCCCAAAACAACATGGGGAGAACATTCAAAATCCACACGCATGCTGTCAAGCCACAGCAGAGACTCAAACCCTGGTCGCAGAGGTTTAAGGAACGGTGCTAACTACTGCACCACCACACTTCCTGTCAGACCTGCCAGTTCATTTTAATTGTTATTTACAGTTGTTTTGAAAACACCCATATAATTCAGAGTTTTAATAATACTTTTTCTTAAATTTCTTGTAGCTGATTTTTTTCGTGTTCGCCGCATTCCTAATGATGCTTCAAAATTTACCCGGCCAGCTTCAGCTGAACACACCCCAGTCCTACGGTCCATGGAGTGAAGGGTCAAGCGGCCACAGTTTATTTTGCCAGTTTATTCCGCCTGTCCTTCGTTGCTGGGTTTCTTAACCCTTCCCAGTAACTCTAGCAAGAAACTCCATACCAGTGTGTAATGATGTTGCTGTGAAGTACATGTTTTGCATGCTTGTCCGCCTCTCCTACACCTTGTTTAATTTTTTATTTTTTTGCCTGTTGTTTATTTTTTTTGTGCGATTCTTCACTTTTATCACACCTGTAATTCCTGAAATAGAGACCTGTCTGTGAAAACAGCTGTCATTTTTTTTTATCCAATTCCTGTGTTGTATTGTTCTGGTTGCTGGGGAGATTTTTGCTGTTATATATTTACTGATAAACAGAAGGAAAGGCATGCAATGGTTTTTAACCAGACTGTGATGTTGTGCTACTGAGCGAGATAGTTATTCTTTTATTTGGCAGCTACCTTTGAGCACCATGTGATTGAGGGAACAGGGTCAGCCTCTCCCTGGAGCCATTGGGGCCATGGGCCCAGGGCACAGCAGTGAATTTATCCTGTTGACCATGGGATTTGAACCAGTAGCCTTTCAATAACAGAGGGAGTCCTGAGCCACAAAGCCTGAGCCACAGTGCTCCAAACAGGAATGTCTCCCCTTAGTTTTGAGCCAAGCATTTTTAGCATGTGAAGTGAATCTAAAAAACACTCCACTTTGAAAATAGTTTTGTTTATTATTATTTATTGTTTTTGTACTGGTCGTGCAAAAAAAACAGCAATCGTTCTGTTTTGTGTCATATTCTTGGTAAGTTGTGTGATTACAAGGATGGGCACGAACATGAATCTGGTTTAACACCAAGGTGAATAAATGTGTAAAATGTGGAAATGTCTGGCTATATTTTCAAATAAGTCCATGTTCACAAAAAGCAATGAAGTATATTTATTGAAAATATGTAAATAAGTTGACGAACAAGCTGAGGAAATATGGGGATGAGATGCAAGATTCAACGCAGATCTTTACATGCTGGAATACTCCTAAGAGCACAGCTGCACAGCCTAATCTGGGGTCATTAATTACCCAGCTAATATGCACAGCTGCCTTGTTTGCTTTGTTAGGAGCTCAGAAGATGATATTCTGACAGTTCAGGCCAAAGCATTTTCTCTCAGGAGCATCGATTGTGTAGCTTCTTATCTCCCACGCAGGAGTCTGTGGTGCTTGTAGTGTTTCAAGCAAGTAAACTGCATTAGGCCTTAGGTAAATGTAACAAGCTTCCTTTCTGAGGTTGTGTATTTCCACTGAACACCAGTACTATATGCTGAATGAAGCTTATTTGCAGATTAATGAACTTTTAGAGATGTGGTGTTTTTCTTTTCTATATTAATGTTCTGAGAGCCCCGAGATGCATACATTTGGGACTCCATTACTACAGTCATAAAATAGTTTTATATAAAAATTGATAGGTATACCATAATGTTTGTTATGGTATATTTTTATTGGCTTCATATCTAGAAATCACATATGCATTATAATTAATGAAATGTATGCCATTTCATTGAAGATTTGTTTTATTTCATATTTTGTAATGTAAATGTTAAACAGTGACACAAGATGCAAGCTACCCATCACATTTTTCTTAGTAAGTATCTTGTAAATACAGGAGTTGGTATAAGAAAGCAGGCATTAAGCTATTAATTTGCACCTGTAGCCAAATAGAAACACTTCATCACCATGGTTTTGGCGAGTTAGGAATTAAAGACCCTTAGAACTTTTGCATCTTCTGCCTTTGCTCAAACTGCCAAATCCACATGAAGATTGAAGAGACTTCCTTTTTTGTCAGAAAGCCGCAACATTGAATGTGAACAATTTACATTTCAAAATGAAGCTGTATTCTCTGCAGGGGATTAAAATCATGAGCCATTTCTCCACTTCAAACGCCATGGAAACAGAAGCTGAAGTAACTGAGTGTTTTTGGCATGGCCAGTGACTGTCGGTGTGTATGTTAGTATATGTGCGAGTAGCCCTGCCTCTGCCCTTCCCAAGCGTGTTTTCTCTTTCACACATTCAGGGCCAATTTTCTGGCACTGCAGTTTTCCTTTGAAGACACACGTGGCTACTGTGTAAACAATAAAAATTTATGCATGAAGCAACTTGCTAATTGAGACGCAAACAATGAAAATAGACTTCTGCAAATTTGTCTCCAACTTTGTGCTGTCTGAGTGGTTTTGTTGCTAGGCAACAACAAGTGTAAGGCCCAAGTTATTGTGATTTTTAAGTGTTTTAAAAGGCAAGTTTCATATTAGGCTGCATTAAAAAAATTTTAATATAGCACAATATGAATTAGGTGGACTTATGCTATAGTTGACTGAAAGAAGTCTGAGATTGATGAATGCATGATGAATAGAACTAAATTTCAGTAAATTAAGAATGCATGATAAATAAAAACTAATTTCAGGAGATTTCAGGGATTATTCAAAAAACAGAAACCAAACAGTAATAAAGACAAAACCATGAATGAACCAAATAGGATAACACCATGAAGTACAGGAAATGATCAGCAATTCTGCAACTTTTAACCTGAAAGGTTCTTACAAAATCCTTTCTTTATCAGAGCAGTCTATGGACCTTTAAGCATATCAGTAGGATGTACCTGAGTTTGTGTGCTGAAGCACCTTTCACAATTGCAGTAGGCTTTCCATGGATCAGTTCCAGCAAACACTCAGCCTTACATAAAATGTTATTGTACTACGAGTTTTTATTTCGTGAAAAGCTTTGATGAATAAGAACCAAATCGAAAATGGATGGGGTCCTCTACTTCCAATTAATGTGGAAACAGTTTCTTAGATCCTCTCACTGTTTTTTGAGCTCCAGTGTCTGTGCAAATACGGTAACTTTAAGAAGTTGTGCTACTACAGCTAGTTCTATTTTTTTTGGGGGGGGGGGGTCCCATTATATACCTTTTAAGCACAAGTATATAAGATTTATTCATGTGGCTCTCTCAGCTACTTGTACTGTGCAATGGAATCGGTGTGTTTTTAAAAATGATAATCCAGAGATTACCCGGTGGTCTGACTCCCTGTCCAGCTCTTTGGCCACGTACGGTTATTGAAAAACCACAGCATCTACTTTTCCGTACCCGCATCGTTAGTGGTGCATTGTACCCCGTGTGACTCAAAACACTCTGATTCATTATGACTCACCTCACAAACAGAACAAAAGAACATAAGTATGTTCCAGAGTGGGGCTTGGTGCACAAGAGGCGACATCTGTTTATACTTTAAAATCGGGGTTTACCCCAGCTTGGAGGGTGCATGTGTTTGTGATGGTAAAACAACGACAAAACAAAACACTGTTTAATTTTCAAGGTCTATTCTCTTGTTTGCTTACAACACATAAGAAGATACAATTTTTAAGTATTGAAAAATATACAGATTAACAAAACAAGTTAACTAAATAAGTACTGCAAACAGATATTACAACTGTATCACAACAGTTTTCATTTACTGGAGAATTATAAAACCAATCTCTTGACATAATCAAATGTAATATTTCCATGCAAAAGAGGAGAATTAATGTATTTTGTATGACTGATATACCAACCTCAGAAATGAACAAAGCAGAACTGTAATTCTGGATTGCCTTTGTACTTTCAATGCTTCTCCATGTTCCTCCAAAAGTTTATTGACTTTGCATGGGTCATTGGTCTGCAGCGGCCAGTTCGCAGTGGTCAGGAAATGTCTGGAGAAAGGCACAGGAGTAGAGTATGCAGCCAAGTTCATCAGGAAGCGGCGCAACAAGTCCAGCCGCCGAGGTGTGACCAGAGAGGCCATCGACCGTGAGGTTGGCATCCTGAAGGAGATTGAACATCCCAACATTGTCGCACTGCATGACGTGTTCGAGAACAAGGCCGAGGTCATCCTCATTATGGAACTGTGAGTATAGCTGCAAAACAGTGCTTCACTTCCCCTTGGCTACTGTACTGGATGCCATCACGTTTACATTTATTTGTTTAGCTAGCAAGGGAGTAAAGTACAGCTGAGAAAGCAGGGTCAGCCAGTCCTTGGAGTAACTGGATTTAAGGGCCTTATTCATGGGCCCCACAGTGATTTCCCTGTGCCAGCTAAGGGATTGGAACCAGCAACCTTTGGATCAAATGCAACAACCAACAAATCCACACATAAGATGACAAAAAAACAAATTTTTATAACATGTCAGTTCATGTCTAATATATACCGTAGAAAGCAGCTGCCCCTTTTAGTTAATCATTCACCAGACTGATTTGTAGTTTTCATCCCACATATTCACTCACCCAGCTAACTTGGAAAGCCTTTCACATACCTCAACAGTAAAACTTTAACGTGTTGATCAAGAGGGTCATGGAGATATAGTTAACCATCGTTTCTACAGTTAACTTCTGCGTGACATATTTTTTCTCTCTTGCAACTAATCCACACAGTTTTGCTTTGATAAAATATGAAAACAATAATTCATTGTCTAAAATGTATTAAATTCATACATCCATGCATTTTCCACCACTTATCCATGGTCGGCTCCTGGTTGGCAGCAGTCTAAGCAGGGATTCCCAGACCTCCCTCTCACCAGCCACCTCCTCCAGCTCCACTAATTGGAGGATTGGTTGGGAATACCAAGGCGTTCCCAAGCCAGCCGAGAGACATAATCTCTCCAGCGTGTCCTGGGTCTGCCCCGGGGCCTCCTCCTGGTTGGACATGCCCAAAACACCTCCCCATCTAGGCATCCTAGATAGATGCCCGAACAACCTCAACTGGCTCCTTTCGATGCGGAGTAGCGGCTCTCGTTTCTGCCCCTCCCGAATGTCTTGAAGCAGTATCCACCCATTCTTGGTTGAGAACCATGGCCTCAGACTTGGAAGTGCTGATCCTCATTCCGGCTGCTTCACACTCAGCTGCAAACTGCCCCATTGCATGCTGCACGTTACAGCCCGATTGATGTAACAAGACCACATCATCTGCAAAAAGCAAAGATGTGATCCTGATTCCCCCAAACCGGACACCCCCTGCCCCTTGGCTATGCCTAGAAATTCTGTCCATAAAAGTTGTGAACAGAATTAGTGACAAAGGGCAGCCCTGATGGAGTCCAGCATCCACCGGGAACGAGTCTGACTTACCGTTGGCAATGCAAACCAGTTTCTTGCTCCATTTGTACAGGGAACTGATGGCCTGTAATAATGGACCCCATACTCCTGGAGCACCCCCCACAGGACCTCCCATGGTTGTATGCCTTTTCCAAGTCCACAAAACACATGTAGACTGGTTGGGCAAACTCCCATGAACCCTCCAGTATCCTTGTGAGTGCAAAGAGATGGTCCAGTGTTCTGATGCACATTGTTCCTCCTGGATCTGAGGTTCAACCAATGGATAGACGGATCTTCCTCTCCAGTACCCCAGCAAAGACCTTTCCAGGGAGGTTGAGGAGTGTGATCCCCTTAAAGCTGGAACGCATCCTCCGGTCTCCTTTCTTAAAGATTGGGACCCCGACATCCATGCAATGCTGAAGAGGCATGTCAGCCAAGACAACCCCAGAACATCAAGAGCTTGCAAGAACTCAGGTCGAATCTCATCCACCCCCTGAGCCCTACTACTGAGTAGTTGTTTGATTACTTCAGTGACCTCAGCCCCAGAGATAGGCAAGTCCTCTTCTAAGTCTTCCAGCTCAATTTCCTCCGAGGAAGGCGTATCAGTGGGATTTAGGAGATCCTCAAAATATTCCTTCCACTGCCTGACTATATCCCCAGTTGAGGCGAACAGCTCACCACACCTGCTATAAATAGCATTGGTGAAGCCTTGCTTCCCCCTCCTGAGTCGCCTGATGGTTTGCCAGAATCTTTTTGAGGCCAACCGAAAATCCTTCTCCATAGCCTCACCCAACTCCTCCCACACCCAAGTTTTTGCCTCAGCATCCGCCTGAGCCGCTTCCTTGACCTGTTGGTACCTGTTCGCTGCTTTCAGAGTCCCACAAGCTTACCAAGCCTTGAAGGCCTTCTTCTTCAGCCTGACAGATCCCTTTACTGCTGGTGTCCACCACCGGGTTCGGGGATTGCTGCCGCAATTGACACCAAAGACCTTACGGCCACAGCTCTGCACTGCCAGCTCAGAAATGGAATTCCGGTCATGGAACATGGCTCATTCAGGCTCCATGTCCCCTGAATCCCTTGGAAGAAAAGAGAAGTTCTGCCGGAGGTGCAAGTTGAAGATCTCCTGGGCAGGGGCCTCCACCAGACGCTCCCAGCACACCCTCATTATGCATTTGGGTCAACCCACCGTCTATCCGGCATCTTCCCCTGCCATCGGATCCAACTCACCACCAGGTGATGATCAGTTGACAGCTCAGCTCCTCTCTTCACACAAGTGTCCAAAACATATGGACCCAGATCCGACGATATGATTACAAAATCGATCATCGAACTGCAGTCTTGGGTGCTCTGTTGCCAAGTGCACTTATGAACACCCTTATGCCCTTATGCTCAAACATCGTGCTCATTATGGACAAACTATGCTTAGCACAGAAGTCCAATAACAGATCACCACTCGGATTATGATCAGTCAGGCCATTCCTCCCAATAACACCCTTCCAGGTTTCACTGTCTTTACTCATGTGAGCATTAAAGTCCCCCAGGAGAATAATGGAGTCCCCAGACGGGGCACCTTCCAGCACCCCCACCAAGGCCTCCAAGAGGGCCAGATACTCCGAACTGGTGTTTGGCACAAACACCCGTCAGAGTGCGTCCCCTGACACAAAGTTGAAAGGAGGCGACCCTCGTATCTACTGAGGTAAACTTCAATCCAATGGCACTGAACTAGGGGAGCTATATGTAGCCCCACCCCTGCCCGGCACTGCTCACCAGGGGCAATTCCAGAGTGGAATATAGTCTAGCCCCTCTCCCGGAGTTTGGTTCCAGAGTCTGAGCCGTGCGTCGAGGTGAGCCCGACTATATCCATTCCGTATCTCTTAACCTCGCGCACCAGCTCAGGCTCCTTTCCCACCAGACCCCTGCCATCTACTGCCACCCGATCTACATTGCACCCAACCCCCACGGCTCCCCCTGCAGGGGGTGGGCCCACGAGAGGGCGGACCCATGTTATTTCTTCTGTTTTTCGTATAGAGCAATTCACATGATCTTAATTTTTAGATATATTAAAATTATTTCATTCCATTCATTCCATTCTTCCATTCTCTGACAATGGTTTCAAATAGGTGGCCAAAAATCAAAGAACAAAAAAATAGATGTAATGTTTGTAAATTTTTCAACTTTATTGCACATAACCCACATTATGATAACATATTTTTCCTTAATTTCTGGTTAGTGTTGCCATTTTTTTTTCTCTTTATCATTGTTTTTGATTTAGCACTGTTTTACCCTCAGGGTTTACAAATTGCTTTACAGACATTTTAAAAGAAGAAAAAGAAAGAAATTAAAATAAGCACAAAAAATGAAATACCACCAGAACCCCAGGACAACTCACATTCTGTATAGGGGACTTTAACCCCTACCTCACCATGCCCTTTAGCCACTATCTCACAAGGCCTTTAGCTCCTACCTCTCTGGGGACTCTAGCTCCTACCTCACAAGAACCTGTAGTCGCTACCTCACAGGGGACTCTAGCCTCTACCTCACCTAGTATTTTAGCCCTTACCTCACAGGGGACTGTAGCCCCTACCTCACCTAGAATTTTAGCCCTTACCTCACAGGGGACTCTAGCCCCTACCTCATGAGGGATCTACCCCTACTTTACTGAGGACTCTACCCCCTATTTCTTTTGGGGGGGGGGGGGGTTGGAATCCTGATTTTGTCAAAAAATTCTAGATAAAGTAACTGGTTATAATATGTACATAAAATTTAATAATTTAATTGCTGTAGATTATTAGATGCAGTAGTGAAAAGATGCATTTTTGGCCTAATTTTGAAAGTATTAAGACATTCAGTAGCTCTCTGGCTTTCTGGGAGACAGTTCCGGAGTTTGGGACCATAGTGACTAAAAGCTGCCTCCTCCCTCCTTAGCTGAGTGATCTGTCTGAGACGAATGATGATGAAGTACTTTTGTTTATTACACATATAAATGGTAATATGACAAAACTGATTAACTTCCCCATAGGCAGTTTAAATGATGAAGTTGTATAACTTAAGTCCGTCTTCAAAATAATTTAAAAAATCAGACAAAATTGATGTTACAGTAATGAGTTTGTGAGAATGAGTCATATACTCCAATTGGGTTAATTGTACATTAACTTAGGGATTCATTGTGTAAATATTTGTGATTGTAAGTTTTGATGTTATTAGTCACAGAAATCCATGCAATTAATTAGTTAGTTTTTTTTTATTGATTCACTGTCCTTAAATATATGTATAAACGAACAATATATAATATATAAATAACCTATATATAACAACCATGTTCATCACAGAAACACTCAAACAATGCTTTTGGTCATTTGACAAGGACAGACATCCTGTTTCTTACTTTCACCAACATGACATTTCTTTCTTGACATCACAGTGTGGCTGGGGGGGAGCTCTTCGATTTCCTGGCTGAGAAGGAGTCCCTAACAGAGGAGGAAGCGACCCAGTTTCTCAGGCAGATCCTGGATGGCGTCTCGTACCTTCACTCAAAGCAGATCGCCCACTTTGATTTGAAGGTGTTAGCTTCTTTTTTCTGGCCAAACAGAGGCTTGCATTTTCTTGCATTTTCTACTGTCAGTTTGCAGGGCCCTTAATTGTGTCTTCCAGCATTCCCAGGCTATTAAATTGCTTTTGAGCACAATTACCCTACACCTGGAATCTGGAGCTTTTTCTCTCACACATGGTGGTTTCACCCATTCCTGTGTCTTTGCTATAATAATGCTTAATTATATTTAAGGATTAATAGTGTATGATGTAGGTACAATTTAAAAAATATACAGCATGTGATACATAATTCAAAGTTTACAGGGTCCTGTTGTATCAAGCTTTGATGGCTTAAAGATCACTAAAAATGATATCATTAAAATTTCAAAGGTATATTATCGCTTTCACTGCACCCTATGTTCATTTTCATGCAATGTAACTAATTATTGAATAGAAAAAATCTGAAACCAATAGCAGAATATAGTTACTCACACCGCACAATATATTTTCAATTAATAACGTATCACTTGAATGTCAGCAACAGAGAGGGATAAGGGTAGCAGAAATGGAGGGGACTTTTATTGTCATTCTCGCCTCCATTTAGTCCTCGATTACCACTTTTACTTGGCTGTCCACAGCACCTCCTTGTAAGTGCCAGGAAGCATCAAGGACATAATGTGCTGATCTTTCAATACCCCTGCTTGTTAGCCAAAGGCTATTTGTCACACTATCGCTCATTGGCTAAGAAGCACATCACTGGGTCCAGGCAACTGGTGACACAAAGCAATACAGCTCTTTAATATCTGTTTATAGAGCAGTCAGCCAAAACTAAAATAAGCCACCCCTTCCTCTATGCTCTCTTGGTCGTGTTCCATAGATGACATAGCTCAAAGCTACATTTGCTTTTCAAGCTACAGCCTACAGTTCAAGCCTACACTTGAGTCGAGTTCCTTTACTAGCTAAGTCATTGGGGAGCTTCTAAAAAAGCAGCATTCTAACACGGCATCACTGTTATCATCCAGCCAATGTCATTAAAGAATTTCCTGTTAAAATGTGTGCTTAAGTTAGCCTACTTTAAAGTGACTTAGATGTGCATATTTTTGTCTTATCCGCCCATGAAAATATTGGCAGTCTTTCAGCATAGCTGGGCATGCAGACAAAAACAAAAAAAATGGTAACAATGTTGTTACTGCTCGCATGTGCTTCTGATTTTTAGGGAGGCATCCTGTAATGTTGTGTGTGCTTTACCTGCCCCAACAGCTGCTTCCTGTATTCTCCTCTCTTTCCACAGCCTGAGAACATCATGCTGCTGGACAACATGGTGCCTCATCCACGCATTAAGCTCATCGACTTTGGTCTGGCTCACAAGATCAATTTTGGTCACGACTTCAAAAACATCTTTGGGACTCCAGAATTTGTTGGTCAGTTTCTCTCTTTTTTTTTTTTTTTTTTTTTTAGCAAAAAAACTCGAAATCCGAAAAATCTACAAATGGGAATTTATAGAGAATCAGCTCTGTTTGCATCAGAAAACCCCCCTCCTTTTTCCATACTGCAGTAGCCAGTAGTAGCAGAGGAATGAAACATCAGTCTTAAGGCTGATTGGCTCAGCCAGTCATTGTGGTCTTGAAGTTTGTCATTAGCTATACCAACTATCACAAGGAGCCTTCTAGTGGTGGGACAGAGGTATTGGTGGCAGAATGAGGGAAGACAGTCTTTTCTGTCTGGTTGGGTGTATGGAAGTTTGCAGTCCTGGAACTTTCCCATGTAGTGGCTCATTTTACACTGTGTTTGTTTTATTTGGGGCTTATTTCCTTTCATTCATTCATTTGTTCTTTTGCTTGTTTTATTTAATTTTGTCCTCCTTGGGGAGGAGGAGCATGATAACCATACATGTCAAATGGGCATGGCTCCCTATAAACTAGGGATGTGCAACTCCATCACTGAGGCAATGCGATACACATCTCAAAGCATTGGCAGTGATCTGATACATTAAAGATACATATGAAGCAACTGCTAATGTAATATGATATGATTCACCCCTATTGTGACGCGGCGCAATTCGACGCAATTTGATTGAACACAATGCGATTCAAAAGAAAATGATACTGTGCAGTTCAATATGGTAGAGATACGGAAACAGTTTAGAGTGGGGAACAGGGTTGGGGCCATTCCGGAATGCATTGATCAATTCCAGTCCAAATCAGGAAATGGAACTGGAGTTGGAACTTAAATCTCCCTGAAATTCAAATTCAACTCCAATTCTGTTCCCTGTAGTTTTTTTTCCAATCCCAGCTCCAGTTCCATTTCCCGATTTGGACTGGAATTGATCAATGCATTCCGGAATGGCCCCAACCCTGGTGGGGAATCAATCTAAATATAAAATTATTGGTCAAAAATTATTGCTCATATTTATATTAAATAAAGGCATAAGCCTTAACTAATAATTAAATATTAATACATTGAATTTTAATGAGACCAGCAGTGTTAAACAGAGGATGCTGCCAGAATTTCCCTTTTTTTTGGGCTCAGTCAGGCTTAAATTAGCTAGGTGCATAATATTAGGGGCCTAGGCAATAAGTTAATATGAGTGGCCAAGTCGCCACTACCAAATCCAGTAAGAAGACACTAGACAGCCACTGTATGATTGTGCTGTTTGCGTTTTGGGAATCTTGGAGAAATAGATATACAGTATTAACTTTAAGTGCCAGAATGTTCAAGCTTACTGTTCTGCTTTCTGTTTTATGAATCTTAGCATAGATTTTACTATAGTTAGGATGAGAATGGCGTTCTAGAGCCATAACCCTAAAACTATATCATCTGTATCTTGTTTTTCTCCGTCTTGCTTCTACAGCTCCAGAAGTTGTGAATTACGAGCCGCTTGGCCTGGAGGCTGACATGTGGTGAGCCGCTCGTTGACTGCGCCATTGGTGATGCGCTGAGGATTTCCCCCTTTCTCTTGTGAAATTTTTCCTTTTCCTTGCAGGAGTATTGGTGTCATTACATACATACTGTAAGTACTCTAAGTAAGTCGGATGCCAAAACCCCTAACTGTTGTTTTCCCCCCAGGCTCTGCAATATACAGTTCTGTACAAGCACAGGGACACACGTACTGTATGCTAATCTCACATGCTCCCCCACCAAGCACATTGACCTCTTTAAACACTGCAGGGCATATTACACCATGCAGAATGTGTAAATTCAACTGGAACATTTAAAGTGACTTAGATGTGCATATTTTTGTCTTACTCGCCCATGAAACTCACCGTGGCGTTAAATTTCACAATTCAAAAATACAATGATATGCGAAGGGGCTGTGGTGGCCTAATGGTTAGGGAAGCGCAAGGTACTACTGAGGTACCCTGAGCAAGATACCACCCCCAAGCACTGTTCCCCGGGCGCTGAATTGGCTGCCCCCTGCTATGTCACATTGTCACGTATGGGCTAAATGCAGAGGACATGTATTGTTGTTGTGTGCAGTGGTGTGTCAACAATGATCACTGTAGGTAAGACTTTAACCTGTAACTTGTAGAGCAGGAGAAATGACAAGCATACTTAGACAAAGCCTAAACCAATAAAATGCAGTTCATGCAAAATCATTTGAGTAGCATCTATATGTATTATACCAGGAGTTTATTAATGTTGCATTATTGCATTACTGACTGATGTTTACTCTGAGAGACTTATGTAAACTTCATCCATTTCAAGTGGATACAATTTAGGACACATCGGCACTTCCGCCCCCCAACCCCCGCCCCACACCCACTCCATTCGGGCTTGTTCTTATTTCCTGCTACTCTGTTGTTGTCCGTACATTGAGATTATGCTTGAGAATCATTGAGCAAAGTCAAGCACAATCTCACCCAACACAAGCCTTTCAGCGTCATGTTGCTTTTCTGTTACGAAACTTCTAAAAGGATAGAAATATGCGTATGTAGCCCTTCCTTAACATTACATGCCCTGAGTACTGTTGTCTGCTGCAGTTCCCTCATTCGGGTGGCTGTGTTCCAGGTATAATTTCAAGAGTTGCTTTGTTCCCAGTGTATGCTGCTGATGTAACGAGCTGGCTTTGAGTATTTTTGTGATAAGGGCTTCGAATGATTTGTTATCTCTGTTGAATAAGACCCTTGAGGGGACCCTGTTGGTGATGTCTTGGACAGTGATTCCCCCGAACTTAAACTCACCAGCTGATACTGAAACACAGTTAGCCTTTTTATACTTGATTGGTATTACGGGATATGTGACTCGAAGTTCACCATCCAGTTACTTCTCTATCTGCATTTAAGCCATAAATATCCCGCTGCCCACCTGCTTTTTATGCGATAAATTCTCCAACCAGCCCATCTGCCCTGCTAATATAGTCGGGAAGTCCTGTCCAGAATGACAATGCAGTTATACTCTCTCCATATCCGCAGCTTGTACATTTTTCCCCATATCTTGTAATACAAGACTATCTGTTGTACCTTAAAGTAAAATAAGTCCCTTAAGCTGCCATGGGAAATGTATACGTCAGGGTACAGATATAAGAAAGAAGTGGACTAAAATAATTTGCCCATGTAATGCCCTTTGTGATGCTATGAATCTTCATTCTTCATTCAGCATAGTTGCATAACTTATAAAAAACCTTAGCAATGCTTTCATGCTAATTTCCGCTGTCGACTTTCTTATGAGGTTTCTGATTATTGTTTTTTAAGATATGATAGCAATTGAAATATTGATACAATTGCATATATTTTCCACCACATCCTATTTTTAGCATATTATATAGTACAGTAAAATCCATTATAAGTGGACTCACTTATAACGGAATATCGTCTATAACGGACGAGGTCCGCTGGTCCCGGCCGTGCGCTTTTTAGAACATGCAGAAAAAGCATCGGATACAGCGGACTCATACATAACGGAATTTTGCTTATAACGGATAAACAATTTGGTCCCCAGGGCCGTTTTTAGCTGTAGTTTTGTTCAGCTATAACGGACATGCAGAAAAAGCATCGGATATAGCAGACTTGCATATAACGGAATTTCGCTTATAACGGACAAACAATTGGGTCCCAGGGCCGCTTTTAGTTATAGTTTTGTTCGGCTATAACCGACATGCCGCTCCGCCTACAAGGTGCCTGGCGTGCTGGTGATATTCAGGGCAGATACATAGTCAGGATTATTAATAGTCACGCATCTGGTCAGGTAAAGTTGGATTAATACATGTACAATATAATAATCTATACCACAAGTATGTCTGCTGGGGTGTGGCATGAGTAAATGGTGTCCTGTAGTTGTGTTCTGGGCATAAAGCAACTCTGGATATAACAGACTGTTTTGCCAGGTCCCTTGAAGTCCGTTAAAAATGGATTTTACTGTAATGTAAATTAAATGAATACATTTAAAGTAAAATTAACACTTTTTAGTTTGTCTTGTTAAATGTTTCTTGATGTTCCATTAAACTGTGTACACGTTAGACTAATGAAAAATATGTGCATGGAAGCGTATGATTTTTCAGTGAGGAAATCCGGTACAATTGAATTATTTCATGTCGCTGCAAAGCCTGCCCATCCTCCCTCCATTCGCATCAGGCAGCAGAGACGTGCACTCCAAGGATTCACACCCCCGCCAACTCACATTATTTTTCACACCAAGAAGATGTTCACACGGCACCACATGAGGCGGTTAGCGCTGCCTGTGAACGTGATGCATTTCTCACTGCTAACGGGTGGCTGGGTAGCCGGTCGTGGAGGCCTGATGCCTTATGGAAAAGGCACATACAGATGTGGGGGAAGGTTTGTGAACCCTATGGAAATGTCTGGCCACACAGCTCCTGACTTTTTATTGGATCTTTCCAGTCATCGTAGTCAGCCTTATTAAACAACGCAAGGCATGTTTACATTATATCATTGAAGAACACATGGGTTAAACAATTCCGGATATCTTATGTGAACATCTAGGAGAATGACCTCTTTAAAAGAGGACAAGTGCAGTCTAATGTTAGGTTGAGTTCAGGTTTGAGTTTGACCTGTCCTGCCATATATAAAAAACACAGACATTTGGTTACCTGCTCTTCACATTAGAAATCTGTTGATTTGTGTATGTGTGTATGCATGTATTACATTGTGGGGAATTTTTTTTTGATGAATGCAATTTTTTCTGGGAATACAATCAAACAACTAAAAATTCCAAAAGTGTTATGTTTATATTACATTGTGAGGACCAAATGTCTTCACAATGTATCTAAAATGTCCACCTGTTATTTTCATGTTGTGGGGACTCTTTTTCAGATCCCCACAAAGATCTGTGAATGCAATCCAAAAAGTAAAAAAAAATATATATATATTTTGTTTGTATGTATGGTTAAGGTTAGGGATGGGTAGGAGTTAAGGTTTTCATGTTGGGATTAGAGTTTTCACAATAGAAATGAATGGGGAGTCCCCACAAAGATATAATTACAAACCTGTGTTTGTGTGTGTGTCTGTGACACTGTGGGTTTTGTCTGTATACGTATAATTTCCTTCTACACTCCAAAGACATGCAGATCAATTGTATACTTGAAATTTCCAAATGTGCAAGTGACTGTATGAGTGTTTGCCCTACGATCGACTGGTATCCAGTCCTGGCTGGTGCCTTCCGTTGCCTGGGAGAGACTCCAGGTTCACCACAACCCTGTACTGGAACAGTGGTTATGAAGATGGATGAATGGTTTATGATATATGTCATGAAATATGCTGGAATAATTGATACACAAGTGCACTTATTGATTGCTATTTAATTTGTGGTTAGAACCTGTCCAAGTCAGATGAAGACATGATGGTTTTCTTATACAGTAATAATGGCCTTGTAGGCTTCCATGCCGCTTTTTAAAAAAATAAGTAATATTCAGAAGGGTGAGTGTGGGTGTTTTCTGTTGATTATATACTACTGAAGGCATCACCCTATGACATTGTGCATATTTCCTTGTGATACATCTTAAGCTATAATAATTAATTTATTTCAGAGAAGGTGCTTTATTTTTTATGTTGTTGCTAAGAGCCTACTGGTAGGAAAAATGTAATCATCATCCCCCAAAAGTAAAGAGAGGCCTGCATATCTCTGCAAAGCAGCACCTATGACTTGCTAGTTGTTAGCATGGTGTTCTTAGCGGTCAATAACAATCTGTGCAGAATGTACCATAATTGCAGGAACACACATGCACATCCACTTCCAGGGTTGACTAGGTTAGTAGGCAGGACATCTTTGCCAGCATTAGAATTGTATGACACTGACATTGGGTAGAAAATAGAGGAGACAGAGGCTGAGAACAAAACTGTCTGGCAAATTTCCCCTGACAGGTTGAGTGGGGCATCACCTTTCCTTGGAGACAGCAAACAGGAGACTCTGGTCAACGTCTCTGCAGTGAACTACAAATTTGATGAAGATTTCTTCAGTAACACCAGTACTCTCGCCAAAGACTTCATAGCAAGGCTCTTGGTCAAAGACCCAAAGTATACAGTTCATTTTTTCATTTTGCAGCCTTAGACATTTGAAGCAAATACAATTCCATTCAATGATAACATAAAATGTTTTACTTACTGCTATATACCCGGCATAGGGAAAAGTCGTACTGTATTTATCCTTCTATCATAAGTTTTCTAATTGGCTAATATCTGATATTAAAGTCAGTTCTTATTCAGATCAGTGGTTTTAAAAGACCATACCAACATTCAGTCTTTATATCTTAATTTTATTATTGTAAACTGTGAAATGAAAACATAAATGAGTTCTTGTCTTTCATGGTTATAGTGAACATGTATGATTTTGTTTTATCACAGAAAAAGAATGAGCATAGGGGACAGTCTGCAGCATCCATGGATCAAGGTTGGAACATCAATACATTTCTGGGGCAATACACCACTTTTGTGTATATAATTAAAGGCCTATAAAGTGAATTGAATGCAAAAGACTCATATAAATGTATTACTGTTTTATTGTTGTAGCAGATAGTGTGTTTTTAGAAACCAATAGCTTAAGGACTCTTGATCATTCAAAGTAGCCTGGGGTTCACAGAAATGTAGCATAAATTGACTAAATGTTGGTATGATAAACCAGTTTCTGCCATCTTGCCCACCCCAGGCAAGAAATACTACCCTAGTACTGATCTGTTCTCATTTGGGAGAACAGAGAACATAATTTTTATGTAAAATATCTTTCTGTGTCAACAGGTAACGTGTAGTATTTCTAAATATGTGAAGGCTGCTGATTAATTTTCTAAACAAACTGAAAATATGATATAACCACCAACACGATTAAAAAAAAAAAACAACTTACCAGCAGATATGTTGTTCCTTTTCAGCCAAAAGACAATGAGCAAGACACAAGCAGGAAAGAATCCACTGTCAATATGGAGATGTTTAAGAAGTTTGCTGCCCGGAGAAAATGGAAGGTAAAGTAATTTCATTTATTGGTAACACTTTCTATGAATGTATCAATACATTCGTAACACATTATAATGCTTTCACAAAGCATTGTAAACATGGCTATAGAAATTAATAAAAAGCTATAATTAATTGTAGTAATGTTTATTATGGATTATTAATGCTTAATCAGAATCAGAATTACTTTATTAATCCCCGTGGGGAAATTCTCTTACATTACAAAAACAAACTCCTGGTGAAAATAAAAGATTTAGGAAAGTTATGTACAGATGATAGAAGAGATTTAGATAGAACTATAAGAACAATAAAGTAATTAAAATAAAAATAGTAAAATAACCAATAAAAATACAACCTATGGCAGCAATTATATTAACACTGGCATGGAGCTGTAATCTATAATGCACTATACATACCTTCATAATTCAATTCAATTTTATTTGTAAAGTGCATTTTCCAACATTACATCGTCTCAAAGCTCTTTACAGCATCCCCGCCCAAAGCCCCCTGTAAACAAGCCAGAGGCGACATTGGCAAGGAAAAACACCCTAGGAGGAAGAAACCTTGGGAGGGACCAGACTTCCAGGGGCTGGTAGAGGAAGTCAAATGAGCAAGATGGCAAAATCCTGGTTCACACTGTCTAAATTTTAAGATTTGAGTCTCAAAGCAGGGGGCAG